AGACCAATAAACACAGACCAAGACTCCCAACCAATCAGGATGAAGAAAAAACCATTCTGGCACAGCAATAGGCTGCCCCAAATTTAAATCTGAAACCACTGTAAAAGTCTGACTCACAGACGGACACAATACAGAAGCCTGATGATGGCAGATGAGATTCTGCTGAAACGTTGCTACAACTTTAAAAGCACAACTATAGTGACGTGGGAAAATACCCGAACAAAGCTGAAGGCCATACATACATACATACATACATACATACATACATACATACATACATATATATATATATATATATATCCACTTTTATCACTTGACTTCAAAGTATCTTTATACTTTCCATTATATTAAAGATGATTCTATAGTGCTGTAAGCTCTTAATGCTAAAAAGAGGCATACCTAAAAGTAAACCTCATTGACCACAATATGTCTTATCTCTAAAAAGAAACTTCACTGCAAAACTTGTAGACTTATTTGAAATATAAATTTGTCTCCTCCCTCTTTTGATTCTTAGAATTTTCAAAATCTACTCATCTCTGTCAGTCAGTATGGGCCAAGGCAAAATTTGGAAACAAAGAAAGGAGATCTTCAAGAAAAAAGCGAAAAACTCTTCAAGTTCCAGTAGGTATTAGAATTAGAGAATTAGAGTTACATGTTGTTAGAGTTTGTGTGTGCATATAAATGTAGGTACACATATACATACATGTATACACATGCACACACACTGTACACAGATACTGTACACACATACACACACACACATACACACATATAATATACAGTGTGTGTATGCATGCATATGTGTACATACATTCATTTATATGCACACACAATAAACACATATATACTGTATAATGTATACAATGTATGTGTGTGTGTATACACACATACACACACACACACATATATTCACACACATGTGTGTGTATACACACAACATGTATACATATGTACACACACAAACACACACACACACATACTTGGTATGGGTATGTCTGTAGGTGTTTGGGTGTGTGGATCTGCCTGGGTGTGATTAAAATTTCTGGTAATGTCAATTAATTTTTTTCAGACAGTGCATTACTAAAACAAAGGACAAACATTCATAAAAAATAGAAGCTAGTGCTTCAAATAGATGATGGTTATTTGTAAACTCCAGTGCATAGTTATGATATTTTCAAAGAAAAGCTCTTCATCTCCTTTGAAGATTATTTCAAAGCAGCAGGTTTTGGAGTAGTTAATCCACAGAGATAACTTTTTTGTTCTGTGAATCATATTTCAAATTTTCAAATGTTTGATTAAATGAGTCATCTGGAATTGTAGGATACAATCCACAGGAAAAATACATGTTTCATATAGTATTATTTGCTTAATCACTGGATTTCATCCCATGAATAGAATCCCCCAAAGTATTGTGACTTTTAATCCTACATTTGATGACATTTTTGCCATTTCAACTGATTGGTATTAAAGAAAAATAGCTTCTTCCCTTCTGTCAACTATTTGTATTGCATAATGACTACAATGCATAGAGCATGCAAATACTTTTATTTAAATATCTTGATTTGACTTTGGATGAAAATTGGGGCAATGTATATTTTTGTACCTTGTTTCTACTCTATTTGATGCATGCAATATTTTCCCTTAACACTCTAATCTTTGTTTGAATGGGGGTAACAGACATTGCTTTTTGAGCAGGGGTCACCAACCTTTTGGACCTCAGGGACTACCAAACTCATAATTTTAAATCCCGTAGACCACTAATATATATTGTGACTGACAGTGGCTTGCTGACCTTGATGGGAGAGAGAGAGATATATCTGATCTAACCTCAGCGGGCTGGCGGGGATGTTCCCCCCCCTCTCTCAGACACACACATGACCCCTCAGACACACACACACCCTCCAAGGCAGCCACATTCCTTCACTAATCTGCTTTTCAGCTCCATTCTTAGGGAGAGAGAGAGAGAGAGAGATGGTATCCTGCGATCCCAAATAAAGAACGTTCGATCAGTAGGAAAATGGGGTGGGGGATTCTCCTGCACACTAATTCACCCCAAAAAAGTCTGCAGGAAAATTTCCCACCCTGTTTTCCTACCAATGGATCGTTCTTTATTTGGGATCGCAGGATACCGTCTCCAGCTCCATTCTCAGGGGAAGAGAGAGACTTTTGGCTTCATGCAAGGAAAGTAGCAGAAGCAGCAGAAGACTGTCTTTCTCTCCCAAAAACTCCGCCAGAAATAAGTCTTTGCCAGTACAGTCTCTTGGAGCAGGATGCCTTGCCAGGTCCCAAAGATTCATTTCTAACAGAGTTGGGGGGAGAGAAAGACTTCTGCTGCTTTCCTTGCGTGCAGTCAAAAGCAGAAGAAAGAAGCAGAAAGAAGCAGCTCGATGGCCAGGCCAGGCGCATGGGGTGAGTAGGGCAAGTTCCCCCCCTCCACCCTTTCCCCCCTCCCCTCACTACTTCATGTTGTTCACAATGCAAGGGATGCAAGCCTTGTGTTCCCGTGCAACCTGAATTAATTGCTTTGGGGGGGTGTTTTGGGGTGATATTTCTCTGTGGACCACCAAAATTTTCTTGTGGACCACCAGTGGTCCGCAGCCCACTGGTTGGCAACCACTGTTTAAGAAGGCCTAAAAATATGACAGCAGCCCAGGTGATATTCAAATGGCTATTTTTCTGGACCTTCTACTGATTTTTATTTCCTATTTTCTCTTGGCAGTTGATTACAGTAGATAGTTGCCCTCAGAACATCCAAGTGAATTTGGAACTGCTTGACAGTAAACCTGCTGAAGACAAACAGGAACGCAGGGCCAAATTGCTGACCGTGTCTCACTTCAAGCAACTGAGTATGTCACATTAGTATGTAATGAAGATTGCATACAAGACTAAAAGAAAACCATGCACACTGTGGGAAATAATTTCTTAAAGAGAATAAGTTATAAAGATAGGCTAAGAAAGTTCTTGGGAAGGATTACAATATTATGAATTTGAAGAATAATATTAATATTATTAATATTAATATAATTTCATAAGTTGTAGAAAGTTGTAGATCTGCCATGATGGACAGTATGAACATATTTTCAAATCATAAGATATAAATATAAGATATATATAAGATATAAATACAAATTACAGATATACAATTTACAGCAAATCTTGGCTCCCTGTGGAATGTATGATTGTTCTATGGAGTTAACAGGGTTTATGACTGAATGTTGACTTGATCATCAGTATAATAATTTCCATTTGTTGTACAGTACGAAGACATTTCATGGAACCAGAAAAACTTTCATGAGTTCCAAAGAACAGGATTACTTAACTTTATTTTGCTAGAAGTTCCACTCCTCTTCCTCCTGAGGGTTGCAGGAGCCAAGCACTGATACAACTAGAAAGCTGGTATTTTTAGCCTGTCTTTATTTGTGGAATTTTAAAATTGCAAAATGCATGCCTTAAATATTTCAGGAAGTTAACACAGGCAAATTACCACTACTCTATCCCAGAATCACAGAAAGATTTAACATATTTAGCACGATTCATCCCCATGCCCAAAACTCTTTGATTTTTCACCTACCTTATCCAGACCATGTTAATAATGTGTGACTTTCAACTTACAACCACAATTGAGCCCAACATTTCTGTTGCTAAGTGAAATAGTTGTTAAGTGAGTTTTGCCCCATTTAATGATCTTTTTGCCACTGTTAAGTAAATCAATCACTCCAGCTGTTGTTAGTAACATGGCTGCTAAGTGAATCTGTTTTCTCCATTGCCTTTGCTTGTTAGAAGATCGCAAAAAGCGATCATGACCCCAAGACACAGCAAATGTCATAAATATGAGTCAGTTGTCAAGTGTCTGAATTTTGATTGCATGACCATGGAGGTGTTGCAAAGGTTCTAAGTATGAAAACCATTCGTAAATCACTTTTTTCAGTGCCATAATAACTTCAAACATTCACTAAACAAACTTTTGTAAGTCGAGGATTACCTTCATTTGATTATATAAATTGTTTATCATCAAATCTGATTATGCAAATTTCCTTTCCCATACTCTTCAGGCCCTTGATAACAATATTCTAGTGACAGTCAAACAAAGGGTGGGAAAAACAGCTTGTCTGTCATGTCTAAAAAGAGTCCATCATGACAGGGTCCTCTGTTGACATTGCATAACCCTTATGAAAGTCCTATTTCTCAAAGATAAAGAATCATCTTGCTTTAAGTTGAGTTATTGCTATGGATACTTTCACTTTTGGGGGAACAAGATACCTGCAATAACTTTGTGTATACCGCTCCTACATTTGTTTACTTGGCTAGGTTTAGATCATATCAACTGTATGCATCAGGAAATGAAAAATCAAGAACTAGTGAGGCAAACAGTGCAAATCTGTGACTACCTGAGACAATCGCAAGAGGTAAGATGTGCAAGGTAGATTTTTAGGGTATTTATATTAATTGCTGAATCTCTAGTGAGTAAACTAAAGAAACCCTGATTTATTTTTTTTTATACAGCAAGCGCAGAAGATGCTGGTGAAGAAATAAATAATTAATCTGAAATATTTTTAAAGATCAATGATTAAAAAAACCTAACTTATCAAAACATAAATCAAGGATATAGGAAAAGAACAAATTTAAATGTTGAGGTTTTATATGATTGTGAGTTGTTAAGGAAATAGCATCAATGAGTAAATATAGATTAGTGGTATGCAATCCTTTAGAACAGGGGTGTCCAACCTTGGCAACTTTAAGACTTGTGGACTTCAACTCCCAGAATTCCACAAGTCTTAAAGTTGCCAAGGTTGGACACCCCTGCTTTAGAACCTGTGCATAGCATGTCTTCTCAATTTGATAAAGCAGCCATGTGTGTTGCCAGGTTCATATTGCTAATTTGGAAGCTACTTTCCATGGCTGTTCCCAGAAATATCTTCTGTGGCAGATATGGAAGGTGGAAAGAAACATGGGGGTTATTATTTTTTAAAAACAGGTTCATGAATACTCCAAAATGTTCTGATCAACTCTTTTACACAGTCCTAATATAGTCTGCTGATGAAAGAATTTTATAATTCGTTCTTTGGAACTTTCCTAATCAGAATCCAGTTTGCTTTCTTGATACCACCAACCTTGCTAAGCTATAGTACAGGTAGTCCTCAACTTATGACCACAATGGAGCCCAAGATTTCTGTGCTACATTTGTTGAGTGAGTTTTGCCCCATTTTATGAACTTTCTTGCTACAGTTGTTAAGTGAATCCCTGCAGCTATTAAGTTAGTAACATGGTTGTAAAGTGAATCTGGCTTCCCTATTGACTTTACCTGTCAGAAGGTCGCAAAAGGGGATCACATGACTCCGTCATAAACATGAGTCAGTTGCCAAGACTCTGAATTTTGATCATGTGAATGTGGGGATGCTACGACGGTTGTGTGAAAAATGGTCATAAGTTCCTTTTTTTCAATGCCATTGTAACTTCAAGTGGTCACTAAATGAACTGTTTAAGTCAAGGACTACCTCTACTAAATCCAGAAAAATATTTAATGTTGATTAAATAGTTTAATCAAGTTGAGCTGCTAATTGGAAAACCTCAAGCAAGGATTATGTATGTTTGCTGTCTTAAATTGCTTATATAGCAATACAAGTGGGATAGAAATAAATATATATATATATAAAATTATGGAAAACAAGTTTGTTTTCTGGTACATTGAATAAATTTACAGTAACAAAATATTAAGAACAAAGGTTGTCTTGAAAACATTTTGAGATGAAAACGAGAGGTTTAGCTTTAAATATGGCATATAATCTTAGATGCTCTCTGCCTTTCGGTATCCTTAGTGAAGAACTAATAATATTTGTGTTTGCATATTGCATGAAGTGGTTGGTTTTGTTTTAACATGATAAAAAAAATACAGCTATTATAACTGGTGAGTCACAAATATGGCTTAATGTTATAAGTGGATCAGTGGTGGGATTCAATTTTTTTTACTATCAGTTCTGTGGGCGTGGCTTGGTGGGCATGGCAGGGGAAGGATACTGTAAGATCTCCAGTCAGAGGTGGTCTTTGCTAGTTCTCCGAACTACTCAAAATGTCCGCTACCGGTTCTCCAGAGGTGGTCAGAACCTGCTGAATACCACCTCTGAAGTGGATTCAATAAATTGTAGCTAAAAGAAAGTACAATTTTGTATAATGTGTATATTGTGCTGCTTAAAGAGGAAAGAAGATATATGGATACATAAAAGTTACTAATCATAATTTTATTTAAAATGTCTATTCATAAAAATAATAATAGAAACAACAACTTTCCCCCAGGATTTAAATAACAGCATTGCTTGGACTAGGGAGAATAGAAAGAATAATCTGAGCAGAAGCTACTCGTAAGTATTCTTGTCTGTTTGATCGCAGATGGCATTTTTGATGGTTTTTAACCATAATATTTCTATTACCTGACATGCCTTTGTGACCTTTAATCATTTAGCTGATAACCTAATTGAGATGTCCCATTCTAAAAATGTATCACAAATTGTGAGTTACATTAAATTGTATTGATCTGCATGTGATCCTCATTGAAACTAGTGCCAAAAATGCAAAGAAATATATCTCTGCATGCACCACTTACAATACTTAGAATACATCAAGCAAATAAATGCTGGATAAAAATGATAGAGTTTACAATTAAATAGTTTTCCAGTAGTCATGAAATATTAAGAAATACAAGTTAGTGTATAAATGAACCTAGTCTTTATTGTAATGACTATTATATATCTTTTGCAAACTTGAAATGAATGAAAAGTTATTTAAGTTTCCCAATGCAATGAAACATTCTCTGTGTGGGTGCATTTTAATTTAATGATAAAAATCTAACTCCATTCTTTGTTTCAAAAAGGTTGAGAAGTTTAGATGGAGATGGCAGTAAGTTATTTTATTTTATTTTATCTGTAAATACTATAGTCAAATTCATGTTTAGAACAAAGTTAATTTAAAGAGCCTCTCACTACTAACTCACTTTCCTATATGGAAACTTACTATGACTGACTATCCCTCTGATATAAAATCTGATACCCCCCAGATTTGTAGAGATTGTTGAGATTGTTTTGTTTAAAAAGTCATACAATATATGGAAAATAGATAGGGATTGAAAAAGAAAAAAAAAGTATAAATCAGGCATTAGTGCTTAGTTATATATCTGAAGGCCTCCATAAAAACCCAAAGATGTTGAAAACCTTTAATGTAAGTTCAGCTATTATATCAACAATTATTGAAAATTATGGTTAGTTTCAAACTATAATATCCATTTCTGGATTGCAAATAAAAAACTGTCTCTCCAGTTCAGACTAGTTCTACCACCTCACACCACTATTACTTTGACCTTTACCTTTCACTACATTTTAGTGTATGCTCCAAATTTCTGTATTGATACGGCAAAAGATATTCATTGGGGCACATCGAGATACCTTCCCCTCAATTGTTTTCACAAGGAAATGTCATAATGTTCCTTTCCAAGATTATCTCTTTATCTGTTCTAATATTGATATAGATATGGTTACACATATATTCCTGGCAGTGGTGGGATTCAATTTTTTTTACTACTGCTTCTGTGGGCGTAGCTTGGTGGGCGTGGCAGGGGAAGGATACTGTAAAATCTCCAGTCAGAGGTGGTATTTGCCGGTTCTCCGAACTACTCAAAATTTCTGCTATCAGTTCTCCAGAACTGGTCAGAACCTGTTGAATACCAGCCTCTGATTCCTGGCCTGTCCAATCTTGGAAAACAGAATTAATAATACCACTAAGTGCAAAATAGTTGATTTGGAGCCAACAGAATACAGTGCATTTTTTAATTAAGTGATTACTGTAGTGAAGCTTCCAGGAAAATAGCAAACTTTAACACTTATCTCGACTGCTGTTGCTAACCATTAAACTTAAATTAAAATTTATCTATTATAAAAGTTATATTCTATCATTTTCTATTATTTTATTCACCTACCATTCTTTTTTCCTGTTTTCCATATATTGATTCATAATTTTGAACTGTATCTGGAAAAATCTGACCTGATATGTTATTTTAAGTGCTAGCTTTTGACCAAATAAAACAGATCTATCTTTATAAAATTTATAATAAATGTTCAGATTCAGAGAAATAGAGTGTTCTTCAACTGAGCAGATTTTCAATTGAATTGAAAGGCATTTGATTATGGTATATGTTTAGCTTTTATTTTAATTTTATTGGTACCTATGACATTGATCATTGACTTTTTAAAATATTATTTGAATCGTATAAAAAATACAATTAATTGAAAAAATGCTTGAAAAAATGCTTGAACCCTGTTGTATTCTGCCCAAAGACTGCTAGAAATAGAGGAAGTTATAGGTCTTGTGAAATAAATAATATCATGGTCCCCAATATAATTATACGCTTTTTACTGATAATTTAATAAAAAGTTAAACTGGATTGTATTTCACTTCCAATCATTTTATGGCAATCTTGACTGTGTAGTGCTCACAACAGTGTATTTTTTTTCCATATTTAACATTAATGTTTTAAAAATATTTCAGATATCTCACTCTGCTTAAAACCCCCTCAAGATTTGCACCATCATTACTCAGGTACGTAGTGAGTATTTAAGTGAGTATGCTGAGTATATTAATTCTTTCCCTCTATCATTTTCTAATTATCTGACTTTGAAGTAGCTCATTATCAAGAGCCGTATATTAAAATAATTCCTAAGAGAGTATCTTGGGGAGATTAGGATAATTTATTATGTTAGCACTGCTTTCTGCATGCCAAGTAGTTGTTGGTAAAATAAATTGGTTACTGGAAAGGATAATAACAGATCTATAATCAAAAGCCATACAAATAAAATTTCTTTTATAATTTCTTTTATAAATATAATTTCTAATATATTTAGGAAATATAATGAAAGGAAGTAGAGATTGAGGATCAGCTAGTTCAGTTTCTGATGAAATAAATCTGCTTTTAATATCAATCCCCAGTGAATTCATATCCAAAAAATGACTTCACACTGTATTGGAAGCAATGAACACATATGAACCTGCTAAGCTGCTACATATTCAAAGCTGATGAAATTTGTGAAATTCACCAGCAGATGTCCTTGCTGTCACACATTTAAGACTGTATATATATACAGTCTTTGCAAATATTGTTCAGTTAGATTGCTAAATGCAGTATTTATAGCAGGTAACAATTGTATGATGGTTAGCAGTAGTATATTGTTATTGCGATAAGTATGAAAGCTATTATATCATAAATACATATCAGCATATATTAAAACTGCTGTAGTCAGTTTAGTATATATTAAAAATAGAGCCAAGCTGCATTTTGAAAAAACTTAAGGAAAATCTATTCAAACCTTACACATTACTATTTTAAATTAATTTTTATTCAATATTTTTTTTACAAATATAAAAGCAATAAAAGAAATTTTAAGACAATAATAAAAAATAGTAAATGGAGGAAAAAAATAGAAAAAGAAATAAAAGAAAAAAAATAGCTTCCAATCTCCTTGATAACAGTAATAAATTTATCTCTTTTCTCAACATAGAGTCCATAAGGAGTTTCTAGTCACTTATTAATGTACTTGTTGATCTGTCACTAACCAAATGATTTTACCATCTTTGTTAGTTTTGTCACTTTTCCCAGCCATTCCTCCATTGTGATGTTTCAGAGTTTTTCCATGTTTGTGCATATAATAATCTTGCAGTAGTAATCATACATAAAAAGAATCTTAATACAGGAGAAATTACAATTGTGATGGTTGGGAAGAATTTTTCTAAGAAAATGTATCTTTTGCCAAGAATAATGTTTTTGTTTCAAACAAAACCAGTTCTGATAACTGAACAATGGCAGAAAGATATATCAAAATCTATATAGCAAGAAAAAAGTCAAATATATATTTAAATTTAAATTAAATGTATTTTCTGGTCAATGATTACAGAAAAAAAAATCTAGAATGTATAAGATAGTTCAAATTTATGTTGGAAATGTGGATAAAGTGAAGGATCATTTTTATAACTGGTAAGTGTTTACGAAAATACTCACATAACTTTCTGAAATGCCATTAACCCACCTTGATGTATATTCAGCAATAAATACATCCTATATTATAATATGCTTTGCTATCTGAGAAGAAATATAGAAAGGGATACCTTGAGTTCAGACAAGGTATCAGTAATTTGCCAAAGATCTGAGGGAAACTCAGCTTTAAATCTTGACAGTACTTTACAGTAAGGCTTTAGATCAGTTGTAGAGTTGAAATGATATCATCAAATACTGCCCATTTTATTTAAATCAGAAGAATAAATTCAGTGGATGGCCCTTGAGGGTTGAATAAATGATTTTAACTGGTTTTTTTTTTTAAAGATTTTCCAGTGCTATGTTGTTCATTTAAGTTCCTTTCCATCTTCTAACTCAATCTTTGTCTAGTAGATTTATTCCTCCATTCTATATTTTTTTGCCCATTCCAGCCAGTGGTCAGAAAAATAGTAGTGTAAGAAAATTAAAATGCTGAAATTACTCTTTAGATAACATTTTAACAAATTAGTTTTACTTCCATGAATGAAAATAAAACATTATTCTAATTACTTCAAATGTTGTACCGTATTTTATGTCTCCCAGTCAAAGGCCTTCTGTAGGAGCAACAGCTCTTCAAATTTTCTTTTTTAAAATGGTGGGCAAAAATTTTCAGATCATATGATTAACTTGCTTTTTTGCAGCTGTTGAAAGAAACAATTTAATGAGGCTGGCTCAAACCATCCCTTTCACACCAGTGCAGTTTTTTGGTGAGTACTGGATTTCATGCTGATGAAAACATTTTAGCCATTAGGAAAATTCACAATAATTTAGACTTAAAATGTGCAATAATTCCATTGCCTAGTTATTTTTATTAAGTCATTAAGTCTCTCATCTATACATCTATCTTTTGCATTATTTTGTATAATATCAAGAAATAACTGGAAAACATTGTCATTAAAAATCCTTGCATTTTTCTTCTATTGCTAACTGGGTTTCTTTTCTTTTTTGTAATCTCATTGTTTTTCTATTGTCAATCTCAGATTTTTTTTTTTTACAAGATCTCCAATTTATTTATTTATTTGTTCAATTTATTTAGCTGGAGAAGAAGTAACGATTTATAGACTGGAAGAAAGTTCACCTTCGAACCTTGATAAAAGCATGTCCTCTTGGTCCCAGCACGGCATGGCTGCCATGATTCAAGTTTTGTCTCAGGAGGAAATGGATGGAGGGTTGAGGAGAGCCATGAAAGCTCTCTGCACCTGGTCTGAAAATAATGTGCTCAAGTTAGGTGAAGTTTTCATTGTAAAATCTTTCCTTCCTGAAGTTGTTCGGACTTGGCAGAAGATCTTCCATGAAAGCACAGTCCTTCATCTGTGTCTCAGAGTGAGTAATCAGCAATCCCTACTAATAACTGGAGGCTAGAAACACTCTACAGAAGGAACCCTGCACCATGGTCTAAAATGGTGGTTCACAAGAGATCTGTTAAATCCCATTGTTACCTAAATCCCAACTCTGTGAACAGGCACCTCAGCCCTGCTTCCCCAAAAGTAGCTCTATTCATGAGAATGGCTAAAATGGATTCATTATAGCACATAAATAGTCATATTATTAAGTACTAGTACTCTCAGGTATATATTGTAGTGTATTCAAACTAGTACCAATCTAGAAATAAAGAGACATTTTACAGTTAAAACAATTGATAAGTAAAACAGCTTGCCTTCAAAAGTTGTGGGTACTTCATCATTGGAAGTTTTAAAAAGGGGATTGGATAGTCATTTGTCTGGAATGGTATAGGATCTCCTGCATGACCAGAAAACATCTGCATTGAACTAGAAAACCTCCAAGGTCCCCTTCCAAGTGTGTTATTCTGTAGTATGGGGTTGCACAGCTGTTAATATCATTGTAATAGAAAATGGAAAGTGTATTCTTCTTATTTGTCAGTGAAATACAGGTACATGGGATCAGCTCAATCATATTTTATAAATTATTTTGTGATTTTGTTTTCTAAGAAACTAAATTTTCATCCTGTCCTTTGAATGACACTTACGAGTACTTTTAAGTTTTCCCAACCCCAGCCAATTAATAGTTTTGGATATGATCTCTAAGCTGGGGTTTCAGATTTCAGTTCTTACTTCATCTCTGGAAAGAGACATTGGGCAGACTTAGTCAAATCACATTGTCTCATCATAATCTTAAAAAGGATGGATGTACTTAAAACGTGGATGGAAATAGCACTAACTTGTTAAATGTTATTGTAAACATTCCTAAAATAATATAGCTATGGGGTTGTTTTTTTGTTATTATGTTTAGGAAATACAGCAGCAAAGGGCAGCTCAGAAATTGATATATACCTTCAATCAAATGAAGCCCCATAGCATTCCATATACTCCCAGGTATGAAAAATGTGTTTCTAGAAATAAAATGTAAAAGAGTAAGCCTATTCATTCTATATACTATATGGTGATTTAATTATTAATATCTGCAGTTAATAGACAGGCACTATATCCTGCACTATAATTACAACAACTATTAGAGGAACAGACAACTATTTATTCATGTGTTTTATATATTATTACAGTCTATATTCCATTGAAATGGAAGCAGTGACAGATTTTATTTTTTGGAGCTCCAAGATCACTGCAGATGGTGACTTCAGACAATTAAAAGACACTTTCCTTCTTAGGTGGAAAGCTAGGGCATAGTTATAAAATCATAGTCAAAGCTATGGTTTCCCAGTATGAGAGTTGGACCATAAGGAAGGCAAAATGCTGAAGAATTGATGCTTTCGAATTATGGTTCTGGAGAAGACTATTGACAGTCCCTTGGACTTCAAAGAGGTCAAATCAGTCAATTCCAAAGGAAATCAACCCTGATTATTCTTGGAAGGACAGAAATTGAAACTGAAGCTCAAATACTTTGGTCACTTAATGAGAAGTGGGGACTAATTGGAAAAGACTCTGAGATTGGGAAAAAATGAAGGCAAAAGGAGAAGGGGATAGTAGAAGATGAGATAGTTAGATAGTGTCATTGACACAAAGAAACATGAATCAATGTCTGGAATACGCTACCTGATTCTGTGGTTTCTTCCCCAAACCCCAAAAACTTTAACCTTAGACTATTGACCTCACCCCTTTCCTAAGAGGTCTGTAGGGGGCGTGCATAAGCACACCAACGTGCCTACTGTCCCTGTCCTATTGTTTCTTTTTATTTTTCTTATATGTATCCATTTCATGTATTCATAACTATGTTTATACTTATACCTGTTATCTTATAATTGCTTGACAAATAAAATAAATAAATGAATAAAATTTGGGCAAATTTCAGGAGACAGTGAAGGAGAGAGTGTGCCATGGTCCATCCGTTCACAAAGAGTCAGACATGACTTAGTGACTGAACAGCATTCCTCTCCTTCCATCTCTTTATATAATGACCACCAAAACCTGACATTACAAACAAGGTGCCGCTTTTCAGGACTGTGATGAATCCTAAAGGGATGATCCACCATATTAGATATTTATTCAGGGAATACAGGGAATTTATTCAGGGAATTTGGGGCTTATTTCAACTCTCTGTCTCTGTCTCTCTCTGTTTGTCTCTCTCTCTCACAGACATCATATAAAGACACAGACACAGGCACACACACACTATCTTATATATCTATCTTGTTCCTTTTGTTCATTTCAGTGCTGATAAAATTACTCAAGTCAGATAACAGTATGGCAGGAGAAAATCCTTTTAAAGTATATACATTATTTTTTCCCCTGACATTACTTCAAGCTTCTACATTCATTTGAATTCATTTAATGAGCAATATCAAAACTTCATTCTTAATATTTAAAATGAAGATTTATTTGATTTACAAGATAATAAGAAATATAAGACATGCTTTTAATTCTGTGAATAGCGATTTCATTTGAGTATCCAACTTCAGAATTAGCAGAAAGGACTACATTGGATTAAGCCCTGTAGAAAGTAACCATGCAAAATAAACAAAAATATCAGAAAACTGCTGATTATTGGGAAACAAAGAGGGGGGGGGGCATGCTAATAGTTTTGTGAGAGCCAATGGCTGCTTATATGTTTAACTGGCAATCACAAGTGAACCTTCTAGGGTGTAATTATTATATTTTTATTCTGTTGTTAAATTGCCTGTGGTGACTTGTTCTCTGTAATTTGTTTGTCAGGATTATGATAATAGATTTTCTCAAAGTGGTGCCCAACTTTCCCATCAAACTTGGAGATTTTATGAAACTCTGTCTGAAAATTAGGTCCTCATTAAGATTAATTATCTTAGGACATCTTTTTGGTTATAGTCTTAAACTTACTTTTTGGGAATAAATGTCATTTAATTTAGTTAGGTTTATTTCTGCCTAGACACGGATAGATAAGATAACATTACATTTTAACTTGTATTCTTATACTTGTATTCTTATTCACATACTTATGTTCTTGAATATATGATGTTGATGAAAGTTGTACATGAGATTAGTACCCTTTAATCATCAAAAGCAGTGTGAATAACACCTCCTGAAAAGGTACTATCCTTTCTTTTCAGATTCCTTGAAGTCTTTTTAATTTATTGCCATTCAGCCAATCAGTGGCTGACAATAGAGAAATACATGACAGGAGAATTCCGCAAGTACAATAACAACAATGGGGATGAAATCACACCTAGCAATTTGCTGGAAGAAGTTATGCTGGCTTTTTCTCACTGGAGTTATGAATATACCCGAGGAGAACTTCTTGTATTAGATTTGCAAGGTGAGTAAAAAAGACTGTACCATGAAAATTAGGAAAAGTTAGAAAAATGGCATATGACACTTGAATGGGTAACACATTTATTTGGGTGTCAGCATTTGTGGACTATAGTATAGTTTATCAGAAACAAGAAAAGTTCTACAAATACAGTCCATAAATACAATCCAGCACGCACACACAAATACACAGGCACACAAACACCCATCTATTGTTAGTGGTTGACTGATTAACACTGACTTCTAGGCTTGTGTATGTGTGCATTTACAGAAGATTGTGCAAGCGTGCCACAGGTTCTGTCCTTTTTTTGTTGTATGAGCAACATGATATTGTATTTCTGCTTTCAGCATTCTACCTTCTTTCCTTCCATCTTTGCAAATGCCATGGAGGCCTATGTGAATTAGTTCTGATTCACCTTGAATATTTGAGATTTGGAATAAATATGATTTGTTTTAAGGCCAGGCTTAGAGATTTGAGGACATATCCATTTGATCTGAGCTGTTTCTTTCAATTATAAAGGGAAGGCCTCAATACTTTCTTTTGAAATCTCCCCCCTACATCTCTTTTAAGGTTGAGATCATATGCCTGAGAATCAATAGGCAGCAGCACTTGTCTGAATTTGTCTTAACTCAAAGCAAGGTAAGATTAGGCCTAGTTAATACTTCAATGTGGGCTAGTCTGGAAATTGCAAAAACTATTTCTTTTCAGAAAAAGGGCATGACAAACCCCTTTCTTGCTGATGCCAAGCAAATGGATTAGAAGTGCTCCAAGGGTGAATCACCAATTATCATCAAAATATCTTAAAAGTATGAGGAAAGGAGAGCTCCCATTTTCTTTTTAGGAAGGAAGAAAGTTGTGATCATTGAATTAAAACTGAAGACCATACTGAAAGTAAAAATAAAAAAATAAAAACCTACAAAATATACACAAGTAATTTTTCAGTTGCTTTCCTGGAGTGCAGGGCTTGGCATCACATTGCATCGTACTCGTGTCAGAAGCACCAAGGCGTTTTTGGGTGGAAAGAATTAGCTGGTGACATCACCATTATCCAGCGACACCTGGTTATGGTCCCTTTCTTGTCCCTATTATTATGCCCAGCAAAGTGGTGCCTATTTATCTACTTGCGTTTGCATTCTTTCAAACTGATAGATGGGCAGGAGCTGGAGCAAATGACAGGAGCTCACCCCATCACACAGTCTAATACACAGCCTTGTCAAGTCAGATTCTAACCATGTGAAACACCATTTTTCCTGACCTGGCACAATACTAAGTAATTATTGAGTTGCCCTTAACTAGCAGGAAAATGTTGCTACCTTTGATCACTGGTTTTTAGGGATAACTAAAACTAATTAACTAACTTAAACATTGCGTCCTTGATGGCTTTGGTGAGGTGAGGTTAGTGGAGGGTTGGGTTGGGATGGGATGGCAAGCACACAAACAAAGCTTGACCTCTTGCTGATGTGGGGAAATATGATGACACAGAGATCATTTGGCACAAATAAGGTAGCCGTCATTGCCTTGCCACATCTACATTCTTGAAGTAGTGAGATCTGGAGCACTTGTGTCAACCTGGCAAGTTCATGTTATGGTATATGTACCAGTATGAATCTTTTAGTACTGAAAAACTCTGTTTTGCCAAAGCATACCACCATTACTTATCTCTTAGGAAAATGAAAGTGTGGTTGCTTGGTATAGAACATGTTTCAAAAAAAGCACAGGTTAGACGCATCTATATTTTTGTTCTCATGCTACCTTTCTTTAATGGAATTGTGTAGTGTTCTACTGGCAGTTCCCACTAATATGGTTGCTTTTAAGTATTTCCTGTCTATTTTATTTTTGATATATTAGTGTATTAGAACTTGCATGTGTATTTCTGCACTTATCTGGATCAGGCAGAACTAAATATTGATTAGCTCTACACATTTGGGCTCCGGTTAATTTCTGAGTGTACATCGGTGTAGTTATTCAAGATCAAGGTTGCCTATATTACAGATCCCTCTATAATTAGATGATAATAAATTCTATTTCTACATGAAATTGGTCTGTCAAAATATATAATTCACAGTGAGCACAGAGAATAGTATATTTGGCAGAAGGAGGCTGCTAGTATAGGAGAGAGAGTACCCAGTGTCAGAGCAGTCATGGAAACTATGGATACTTATAGAATCTGGTTCATATGCTGGCATAGGTAGTTCACTCTCAGGGCTAACTTGTGCAGATGTATCACAAGTTTTTAATAGAATAAAGAATTTGAAAAAAAAAAGAACTAATATTAAGCATCTAAATCAGGGGTCTCCAACCTTGGCCATTTTAAACTGAAGGACTTCAACTCCCAGGATTCCCCAGCCAGCTTTGCGTTGAAGTTGAAGTCCGCCAGGTTTAAAGTTGCCAAGGTTGGAGAACCCTGATCTAAATCTGTCACTTATACACAATATAATAGAATCATAGATTCCTGATCCATGTTTACCTAACAGTTCTGTCTTCTTAATAATACAGTTTCAATTTACACCACTTTTTTTTTTAAACTGTTTTAAAGGAAATGGACTTGTTCCAAAGCAAAGCATCAACCTCTTGGGCTTTATGAATGAGATCCCACAGAGATCATCAAGGAAGCATCCTTGAGGACTAGTTTGCCTTCTGATAAATGGATGTTTTGTGACTGGCCACACAATAGTAATTTTGTGACTAGGGAAGTGATCTATGGAAGCTTTCAAAATTCCAGAATGGCCCATAAAAGTTATCCAACTTTGACATAAATAAATGAAACATTAATATGCTTAATGTAAGCTATTGTTTCAGGAGAACCAAGCAAGCCTATGCAATAGATTAAATATGAGGATCCAAATTTCAGGCTTGATCTAGATACTATGGATCATATGAAGGTTTCAGAGCTGGAATATGTTTATGGTGTTTATGTATTTTATTCAGAGTAGGGAAATTTCCTTGCACTGGATGGAAAGAATAGAATAGAATAGAATAGAACAGAACAGAACAGAACAGAATAGAATACCTTTATTGTCATTGCATTCAAAATACAATGAAATTTGAAAGCTACTCCAGCACAGTGCCCCAAACACCACATCACAATCACACTACACAGAATTTAAAATGTAACATAATTAAAGTAATAATAATACTTAAACACCTAGTCTAAAACCTATTTAAAACATATATTAAATTAGTTTTAAAATGCCACTTTATAAATAGAACTAAATCACAAATGTACTGTTTGATTCAAGACAATTATTGCCTTGGAAAAGAAACTGTTTTTCAGTCTATTAGTCCTCATTTTAAGACACCTATAATGTCTCCCTGATGGTAACAATTCGAAATATGAATGTCCAGGATGAGAACGGTCTGTGGAGATTTTTTGTGCTGTAGGGAGGAGTCTGGTCTTCGCAATCTCTTCCAAAGAAGAAAGAGAGCAACCAATGATTTTTTGTGCTGTCTGGAGCATCATCTTATCCACTACAGAGCATCCAGCATACCACACCGTTACACAGTATGCCAAAATGCTCTCGATGGTAGAACGGTAAAAAGTAACCAGCAACTTCTCACCCAGACCACTCTTTTTCAGCAGCCACAGAAACTGCAGGCGCTGTTGGGCCTTCTTTGCAGTGGCCATAGTGTGGACCGACCAAGTAAGATTGTCGGAAATATGAGTTCCTAGAAATTTAAAACTATGAACTCTTTCCACACAATCTCCATTGATATATAGTGGGAGAGGCTCTGCTTTGCATCTTCTGAAGTCTATAATCAATTCTTTGGTCTTTTTGATGCTCAGGGTGAGGTTATGACTCTTGCACCACAAGACCAGTCTGAGAACCTCTGACCTATAGGCCGTTTCATCTTCTCCTGATATGAGTCCCACCAATGTGGTATCGTCTGCAAATTTTATTATAGAGTTAGTGGGACAAGAGGGAGTGCAGTCATAGGTGTAGAGTGAATACAAAAGGGGGCTCAGCACACAACCCTGTGGAGAGCCAGTGCTGAGAGCAAGAGTGGAGGAAAAATAGCTGCCAATCCTAACAGTTTGGGGTCTGTTAGTAAGAAAGTCCTTTATTCAACAGCAGATGTGAGAGGAGAGGCTTTCAAAACACTTCATAATTATGGGTGTGAGAGCTACTGGTCATTTAAAATATCAGGAGAGGGCTTTTGGGGAACTGGAGTAATAATGGAAGTTTTGAGACAAGATGGAACAATGGCTTGTGTAAGAGAAAGGTTAAAAATATTTGCAAACACACTTGCGAGCTGGTCAGCACATGCTTTGAGTACTTTCCCAGGTACCCCATCAGAGCCAGCGGCCTTCTTTACATTCACTGCTCTAAGCACTTGCTTCACATCATACTCTTGTACTGTGAACAGCTGAGTATCGGTGGTTTGTAGAGGCAGTGTGTTTGAAGACCTATTCAGTTCGAACCAGGCAAAGAAGCAGTTTAATTCTTCTGCCAGTGATGCATCCTTTTTGATCGATATGGGGTTGCTGCCCCTGTAATTAGTGATGTGTTTAATTTTAAAAAGTAGTTCTTATCTTAGTTTTCTCTGATGTTGAAACATATATTCTATTTACATATAGTTCCAGCAATATACATATGGATCCACAAAATATTTTTGAATTATAGCCTTTATATTGTTTGCTTTATATTTAAATGAAAACATGTTTTAAAAAGTAGCTGAGTATGCAACATTTGTTTGTCATAGTCTAATGCAATTTATAATTTTAATATTGCTTTTTCATTTTACTCTGTAAACCAAAAGATTAGATAACTGTATAATAATTGCATAGGTTATAATTTCACAAATGGTTTTTAAGAAGACAGTTACCTTCTAATAACCATTATAAATTTGAATTCTGCAGGTGTTGGAGAAAACCTCACAGATCCATCTGTTATTAAACCTGAAGACAAACAGTAAGTATCACATGTAAATTTATCATATAAAATGTGACATATATTCCATCATTCAATTAATCTTCAATATTAGCTATAATACAAATATGCTGACAGTGCTATTCTTTTTGGCTAACAGCACAATTTTGTATGTGTATCTTTTTAAATGGCTGATTAAGAATAATGTAATGCATTGACAAAAAGGTAACTGAAGGTAACTTAATAAAGCTATAAATGCAGATATTTACCACAAAACTTGGCAACAGAAGAGATAAATATTTGACTTATATTGAGTGGACATAACTGGTTTCCAAGTTCATTATGTTGTTTCTTGTGGATTAAATAGGCCTTTTAATCCTAGGAATGCACAAGAAATGGACTACAGTTAATGAAATGTTATCTAACCACAGTTTCTCATAAGTAATGCTCATGACACTAGTTGAAGGATTAGGTTTTACCCTCCAGCTACTTTGCAAAGTGGTATCTGTGTCAAACTCGATTGTGACTACGAGTTTAGAACATTAATTTTTAATGAGCGCTACATCCTCTGGGCTAATAGAAGCTCACACAATGAAGCATTTCTTATTCCATTACTCCTGCACTCATCCTCCAATCTGTTTAGGCAGATTCCTCCCAAAACCAGACATCCAACTAAGCGTATTGGTGATATGCAGGTGGAAAAGGTATGTACGGCTATTGTGACATTAATTATTCTTTTATTATTTTCAAACTGTAGAGAGATGGCCTTTGGACCGGCAAACCTTGGAGAAGAAGCCTTCAAAAACTTCATTTCAAAGCATTGCTGCAATTCTTGTTGCAGGAAACTCAAACTTCCTGGTATACAGTAGCAAACTCTGAACATTTCTGAACAAATCTGGCCTTAGAGCTAATCCCTGAATCTAAAACTGAGCTCTTTGTATTGCCGTTGGTAACAAAGTATTCCAAGAACGAGTTGTATAAATGAACATTTTCCATTAATATTTTGAGGGCCTGTGCAATACTAACATGGGCCTAGGAGGAAAAAAAAGCAATACTAAACTTTATTTATTGGTTTGGTCTTTCAAATCTGGATGTGGCAAAGTTTAAATATGGGATGCACTTTTTTTTAATGCCAAAAGTTTCACTTGGCTTTTCATGGTCCATTCCAAAGATGGTAGGTACAAGAAAAGGAATGAATAAAAAGGAAAAAATAATTTATATTACATTGCATTCCTTATTATCACATTAAAACTGGCCATTTTTTGTAGAAGGCCCCAAGGCCTTAGACCTATGAACTAACATGTCATATTAAACACACAATCATGTCCTTTCTCTAAATATGATATTAGATTAGCTTTTTTTAGTAGAGTGACTAAAGCAGTAGATTTAAAGATTAAATAAGCAGCCTTTCACTTCTTTTATCTTTTTATAATCTAATGGATTATTAGGAAGGAAGTAATAACAAAAGAATTTATTTTCATCCTGTTCAATTAGTATTTTTTTATTTTTTTATTTTTTTATTTGATTTGCCAATTGTTTACAAGATAATAAGTATAAGTGTATACATAGTTGTGAATACATGAAATGGGTACATATAAGAAAAATAAAAGAAGAATAAGAGAAACAATAGGACAGGGACGGTAGGCACGTTGGTGCACTTATGCACGCCCCCTACAGACCTCTTAGGAAAGGGGTGAGGTCAATAGTAGACAGTCTAAGGTTAAAGTTTTTGGGGTTTGGGGAAGAAACTACAGAGTCGGGTAGAGTATTCCAGACATTGACCACTGTATTGCTGAAGTCGTATTTCCTGCAATCAAGTTTGGTGCGGTTAACTTTGAGTTTGTATCTATTGTGTGCTCTTGTGTTGTTATGGTTGAAGCTGAAGTATTCATTGACAGGTAGGACATTGCAATGTATGATTTTATATACCATGCTTAAATCAGACCGATGACGGCGTAATTCAAGGTTTTCTAGTTCTAGAATTTCAAGTCTGGTGGCATAAGGTATTCTACAACGAGTAGAGGAGTGGAGAACTCTTCTTGTGAAATATTTCTGGACTTTCTCAATTGTGCTAATATCAGATACGTAATGAGGGTTCCAGACTGATGAACTGTATTCGAGTATTGGTCTAGCAAATGTTTTGTATGCTCTGGTTAGTAGTGTGATATTACCAGAGAAAAAGCTACGCAGGATTAGGTTAACAACTCTTAATGCCTTTTTGGCTATGTAGTTGCAGTGGGCTCTAGCACTTAGATCATTAGAGGTGAGTATTCCAAGGTCCTTTACAGAGCTTGGGTCATCAACAAGATCTTGACTATTCAGCTTTTATTTTCTGATTTTTTTTGCCAATATGTAAGACAGAGCATTTATTTGTTGAGATTTGAAGTTGCCATTTGTTTGACCATTCTGATACATAGTCAAGATCTTTTTGTAGGGTAGCAGTATTGTCTGTGGTATTGAACAGCTTTACATCATCAGCAAAAAGAACGCAATTGCTCTTAATATGATCACAGAGGTCATTTATGTAGAGTATGAAGAGAGTTGGTCCTAGAACACTGCCTTGGGGGACACCACTATTGACAGGTACAGAATTTGATAGGACGCTCCCAATTTTGACCATTTGTTGTCTGTTTGCCAGGAATGCTTCTATCCAGTTATGCAGTTGTCCAGAGATACCATAGGATTTTATTTTTAGGAGT